TTTTTTAGACGCTTTTTTTTGTCGCCTTTTTTTGAGTCTACGGTTTTTTTTTGTCGTCTTTTTTTTGACTCATCTTTTTTTTTGTCACTGTTTTTCCGCCTGGTTTTCGTTTCCGTTTTGGTCCTTTCTTTTTTCAATTTTTTTTAAACGTTTTTTTTTTGTTTTTTTTGGTCGCCTTTTTTCACTCATCTTGTTTTTTGTCGCTCTTTTTTTGGGCTTTTATTTTTTTAATCTGCTCTTGTTCGCATTTTACCTGATCTTTTTTTTTTAGTCTTTTCTTGCTATTTTTTATTTGTATTTTTGTGTTTTTCGTTGTCTTTTTTTTGTCGTTTTTTGTCCTTTTTTGACGCATTTTTTGGCCTCTTATCATTTTTTGTTTTTTTTGTTGCCTTTGAAATAATTTTTGTCGCATTTTTGTCTACCTTTTGGATCTTTTTTTCGCCTTTTTTGTAATCTTTTTCCGTTGTGTTTTTTTTGCTTCTGATGGCCTTTTTTTGTCGCGTTTTTTGGATCCCTTGCATTTTTTTTCGGTTATTTTTTGTCTGCCTTTTTTTTCTTTTAGCCGCCTTTTTTTTGTCACTTTTGTGGTCCTTTTTTCATAGCCCCTTTTTTTGGTCTCTGTTTTTCCGCCTGGTTTTTGTTGCATTTTTGCCATTTTTGGTGTTTTTTTTGTCAATTTTTTTAGACGCTTTTTTTGTCGCCTTTTTTGTCACTTTTATTGTATTTTTTGTCGCCTTTTTTTGAGTTATTACCTTTTTTTAACTCAATATCTTTTTTTTGTTGCCCCTTTTTAGGCCCTTATCTTTTTTTCTGATCTTTGTTGTAGTCTTTTGCTGCAATTTTTTAATTCTCTTTTTGTGATTTTTATTGTCTTTTTTTGTTCGTCGTTTTTTGCCCTTTTTTGTCGCATTTTTTTGGCCTTTTATCATTTTTTGTTGTTTTTTGTTGCCTTTTTTTGTCACTTTTGTGGTCCTTTTTTTGTCTTTTATTTTATCTTATCTTATCTTATCAATTTTTTTAGACGCTTTTTTTGTCGCCTTTTTTTGAGTCTACGTTTTTTATGTCGTCTTTTTTTTGACTCATCTTTTTTTGTCACTGTTTTTCCGCCTGGTTTTCGTTTCCGTTTTGGTCCTTTCTTTTTTCAATTTGTTTTAAACGTTTTTTTTGTCGCCTTTTTTTCACTCATCTTTTTTTTCTCGCTATTTTTGTGGGCTCTTATTTTTTTAATCTGTTTTTGTCCGCATTTTTCCTGAGTTTTTTTTTAGTCTTTTCTTGCTATTTTTTTAATTGTATTTTTGTGTTTTTCATTGTCATTTTTTGTCGTTTTTTATTCTTTTTTTGGCGCATTTTTGAGCCTCTTAATTTTTTGTTGCCTTTGAAATAATTTTTGTCGCATTTTTGTCTTGCTTTTGGATCTTTTTTTCGCCTTTTTTGTAATCTTTTTCCGTAGTTTTTTTTGCTTTTGATGGCCTTTTTTTGTTGCGTTTTTTGGATCCCTTGCATTTTTTTTTGGTTATTTTTTGTCTGCTTTTTTTCTTGTCTTTTAGTCGCCTTTTTTTTGTCACTTTTGTGGTCCTTTTCTCGTAGCCCTTTTTTTTGGTCTCTGTTTTTCAGCCTGGTTTTTGTTGCAATTTTGCCCTTTTTGGTCGTTTTTTTGTCAATTTTTTTAGACGCTTTTTTTGTCATTTATTGTGTTTTTTGTCGCCCTTTTTTAGGTCATTATCTTTTTTTCTGGTTTGTTTTTATCTTTTTTGTCCGCTTTTTTTCTGTTCTTTGTTGTACTCTTTTGCTGCAATTTTTTAATTGTATTTTTGTGATTTCTATTGTCTTTTTTCCGTCGTTTTTTTTGTACTTTTTTTGATGCATTTTTTTGGCCTCTTATCATTTTTTGTTTTTTTGTTGCCTTTTTTTCATGTGATTTTCTTGTCTTTTTTGTCAATTTCGACCTTTTTTGGGCCCTTTTCCTTTTTTTTTTTTTGGTCTGTTTTTGTCCGCCTTTTTTCTAATGTTTGTTGTAGCCTTTTGCCGTAATTTTTTAACTGTATTTTCGTGATTTTTTTATTGTCTTTTTTCGTCAGTTTTTGTCCTTTTCTAGTCGCATTTTTGCCTCATTATCCCTGGTTTTTTTTGTTTGCCTTTTTTTTCCCATGTGATTTTTTTCGCATTTTTGTCCTTCTCTTTGATCCGTTGCTTTTTTTTGGTTATTTTTTGGCACCTTTTTTTTGTCATTCTTTTTAGTCTCCTTTTGTCACTTTTATGAACCCTTTTTTTCTCGCGTTTTTTGCCGCATTATCTTTTTTTTGACTCCTTTTCTTTGGGCCCTTCTAATTTTTTTGTCTGTTTTTGTCCGCCTTTTTTCTACTCTTTGTTGTAGCCTTTTACCGCTATTTTTTTTCCATTTTCGTGTTTTTTTAATTGTCTTTTTTTTTCGTCGTTTTTTGTCTTTTTTTTGTCACATTTTTTGGTCTCTTACCTTTTTTCCATGTGTTTTTTGACGCATTTTTGTCCTGCTTTTGGATTTTTTTTACCTTTTTTGTGATCTTTTAACTTTTTTGGTCGCCTTGCCGTTTTTTTAGTAATTTTTTTCTCGTTTTTTTTTTGGTAATTTTTTAGTCACCTTTGTGATCACTTTTATTGTGTACTTTTTTAACTCATTATCTTTTTTTTTTGTCGTCGTTTTGGGGCTCTAATCATTTTTTTTGTCGTGTTTTGCCGGCCTTTTTTCTGGTCTTTTTTGTGGCCTTTTACCAGTATTTTTTGTTTTTTACTGTCTTTCGTCGCTTTTTGTCTTTTTCTGTCCCTTATCTTTTTTTTTGGTTGCCTTTTTCCCATGTGATTTTTGACGCATTTTTGGCCTGCTTTTGGATTTTTTTTTTTCCTTTTTTGCAGTATTTTAACGTTTTTTTTGGCCTTTTGTGGCTTTGCTGCGTTTTTTTATCCCTGACCTTTTTTTAGTAATTTTTTGCCTGTTTTTTTTTCTCGTATTTTTTTGGCAATTTTTTTGTCTTCTTTGTTGTCACTTTTATTGTCTACTTTTTTGACTCATTATCTTTTCTTTTTTTTTGGTCGTCTTTTGTCGGCCTTTTTTCTGGTCTTTTCTGTAGCTTTCTACCAGTAATTTTTGTGTTTTTAATTGTTTTTTTTATTCTTTTTTTATCGCATTTTTTAGCCCCTTTTGGTTTTTTATGCCCTTTTTAATTGCCTTTTGTTCCATGTAATTTTCTGGTTGCATTTTTGTCCTTATGGATCTTCTTTTTTCGTTTTTTTTTTGTTTTTTTTTTTGACTTCTTATGGCGTTTTGTTGTCATGTTTTTTTTTTTGATCCCCTATCTTTTTTTTGGCGCTTTGGTTGTCCTTGTTTAATTGCTTATTTTGGTCTGTTATCTTTTTTGTCGCCTTTTTTTATTGCCTTTTTTCCCGCGTGGTCTTTTGTCGCATTTTTGTCCTGCTTTTTGGTGTTTTTTTTTCCGCCAGTTTTTGTCCTGCTTTTTGGTGTTTTTTTTTCCGCCAGTTTTTGGTTTTTTTCCGTTTTTGTGTCATTTTTTGACCCTTTTTTATGTTTTGCCGCCTTTTTTATAACTTTTTTTTGTTTTTTTGAAATGTTTTTCGTCTTTTTTGCCACCTTTTTGCGCTTTTTCTTTGTCGGGTTTTTTGTCTGCCTTTTATTTGACCTTTTTTGCCTTTTTTCGCAGCGTTTTCCACTTTTTTGTCGGCTATTTTTGTCGATTATTTAATACTCTTTTTGTGGCCTTCTGTATCGTCTTTATTGTCGCTTTTATTGTGTTTCTTGGCCCCTTATCTTTTTTCGCCTCTTTTGGTCATTTTTGGGTCCAGCATTTTCAAACTTTTTGGAAGCCTTTTTTTTCACTATTTTTATCACCTTTTTACCTATTTTTTATCGCCTTTATCGCGTTTTGACTTTCTGTACTGTTTTTTAAGTCGCTTTTTTATGTTTTTCCTCGTCTGTTTTTAATACTCTTTCTTGCAATTTTTGTTTTTTTGGTTTTTTTGGCACTTGTTTTTATCACCTTAAAGTCACGGTTTTTTATCGTTATTTTTCTCGCTTTTTCTGTCGCCTTTTTTGTTTTATTTTTTTATTGTTTTTCTTATCTTTATTAAAAAGTTGATGAAATGATTACGAAATTTTAATACGAAAAGCTCGCTTGAAACATCACTTAGTTTAACAATCCACACAATCATATCCTTATTTTAACTCACGGGGGTTATAAAAATTAAATTCTCAACATTAAATTTTATAATTCATCTAAGAAACTGGATTTGTTTTATTTCACTTCAGCAGCGGGGGAAATTTTCTCTAAATAGTTTTACACCATCTTTTTAATAAAAAAATCAGCTCAATTACATCGACTATAAATTTTCTAAAATTTTGAAACCGGCTTTTGAAATCATAAGCAATTCTTTACCTCTATCCTAGTTCTTTTGTGTCCACCGTCCCCAATTTGTGCATTCATCGTATCGCCTCCATTTCATGAACTGAAATTTCATTAATTCGAAGCATGACCACGAGTTGTACACGAATTCTACGGTTCTGATTCACCGGACTAATTTAAGTTTCTAGCACACGCTTAGTCTTCGCCGAGTTCAATAAATTTACTACATTGCGAATTTGAAATGTACAAACGTCAACACATCAAAATAAATCAGCCGAACGTGATGAGCAAAATATGACAGCGTATTTTGTAATGGTTTAAAAATAGCCCCGGTACGAGCACACTTGCCCCGCCCATTGTGATGACTGTTTCATTGGTTATCTGATGATCCGTCAGTGTAGTGGGCGGGGCACCGAACTCTTTCATTTGTGCGCTTTTTATATCGTGTCTTGACGTGGAGACCATATGGCATACTTAACCCCGCCCACACGCCGCATAAGATACGGTGTTGGGCGGAGGGTGGGGCTTCCAACCAGGTGTACATGTTTGTATTGACTATGAGACCTATATACTTTTGTAAAAAATATTAAGGGAAGTTTTTTTTTTCAGTTACGACTCCTACACCACCTCCTCGGCCTTGGATCCCTTTAGCTAGGCCAACATCTAACCGACCGACATGTAAGTAGTCAAACGGCTCTCATTCGTCAATAATTATTTTAAAAACCGCAAGAAAGTTAAATTATTAGTGTAATGGTACTCATAAAAGAAAAAGTTGCTCCATTAGAACCTACAGCGGACCCATAATGTGGAAATCTGGACCCCATTAGCATAAAAAACGCGACTTTCATCTTCCAAATTTCACGCAAACAAAATCGTTTGAATAATTTTTTCGTTTCAGGTATTTTCACTGTGATGTGTTATAATGTTTTATGTGATAAGTACGCAACACGACAAATGTACAGTTATTGTCCAAGTTGGGCTCTAAATTGGGACTATAGGAAAAAGGGTATCCTAGAAGAAATAAGACATTACAGCGCCGACATAATAAATTTACAAGAAGTCGAAATGGAACAATTTTACAACTATTTTTTACCTGAACTTAAACAAGACGGTTACGCTGGAATCTATTCACCAAAATCCAGAGCGAAACATATGGCAGAGAGCGAAAGAAAGTACGTCGATGGTTGTGCCATCTTCTACAGAACATCAAAGTAAAAATCGACTCTATACAGTTTCCCGGTTTTCATTTTTTAAATTCCAGATTTACGTTAATCAAAGAACACTTAGTAGAGTTTAACCAGTTAGCGATGGCCAACGCAGACGGTTTGGACCACATGCTTAACAGAGTCATGCCGAAGGACAACATAGGGCTCGCTGCGCTCCTACAGACGACAGAAGCAGCTTGGGAAAACAGTAAGTTAATCGCGCAAGGACCCATTCTCGCACCCGCTCCTTTCGCGCTTTTCGTCAACGACCTAACGACATTCTTTCTTCAGCTCCAGCGGATGCACCATTCGTCCAACAACCCATCCTAGTATGTACAGCACATATCCATTGGGATCCCGAGTTCTGCGACGTCAAGCTGATCCAGACGATGATGCTAAGCAATGAGCTCAAAACGATACTTGAAAAATCTGCTCAAACACTTAAAGCCTCCGAGAACGTGAACGCAGACGCGAACAGCATCCAGCTCGTTCTGTGCGGCGATTTCAACTCGTTGCCGGATTCGGGCGTCATCGAATTCTTGAGCACGGGAAGGGTTTCGCAAGATCATAAGGATTTCAAAGACTTTAGTTATAAACAATGCCTGGAGAAGATCCTGAGCTGTGATAAACCTAATGAATTTACACATTCCTTCAAGCTCGCTTCTGCCTACAATGACGAAATAATGCCGTTCACAAATTACACGTAAGTGGTCTTTTTCTGAGTTGTGGTTGGTTGAAATGTTGGTGCTGTGATTAAGTGACGCGCATGTGACTTTCCAACGATGGCTAGATGGTTATTTTGAAATTTAATTTTAATGATACCATATAATACGAAGAAAGAGGTTTACCGCTTTTGTCTGTTGTTTTTTCATTTCCTTTAGTTTTTTGATTTTTCGTTTATTCAATTTTTCGTTTCTTCAGTTTTCCGTTTTTTCAGTTTTTTGATTTTCCAAAGTTTTCATTTTATACTCTTTTAATTTTTTCAATTTTTCAATTTCTTGACGTCCAAAAGTTTCTATTTTTCGATCTTCATTTTTCGATTTTACAATATTTAGTTTTTTCGATATTTAAGTTTCGCGACTAAAAATCGGAAAAAATGAAAAACTCAAAAAACGAAGCAAATCGAAGAACTGAAAACCGGAAAAATTGCAACATTGAAAAACTAAAAATGGAGAAATTAAAAATCGGGAGAAATTAATGAGTAGAAAAATTGGAAGACTCGAACATTGTAAAATCGAAAAATTATAGGAAAGTCGAAAAATTGTAATATTGAAATTTCGAAAATCGAAAAAGCGAATAAAAGAAAAAGTTTTCAAAGCCAGTAATTAAAAAATGGAAAAATTCTAAAATTCGAAAAATGGACAATTTTAAAAATTATAATTGTTATTAGCGACATATTTGAAATGAAAACTAAAAAAAAATGTAATTAAAAAGTTGAAGAAACGAAAAATGGAAAAATCGAGAAACTGGAAAATCTGGAATTAAAAAAACGAAAAAAAAATTATAAAAATCTAGAAGTTGAATATTTAAAAAATTGAAAACCGAAAAATTGTAAACCTGAAAATTGAAAATTTTCACATTTAAAAAAATATGCATAGAATATGAACATTGAAAAAAAGAAAGAAAATAAAAACAGAAACGAAAAATTTTAAATGGATAAATTTAAAAACTGAAAAATGTCAAGTGTCAAAATCAGTCCTATCTTATCGAATACTAGCCCCGCCCACCCGCCCTCTATTTTCTTAGAAGGTATGTCATTTGCCAAAATCTGTCTTATCTTAGCTAGTACTGGGTAAAATAAGACTGGTTTTAGTAAATGACACCTCCTAAGAAAATAGAGGGTGGGTGGGCGGGGCTAGTACTTGGTAAGATAAGATGATTTTGGCAAATGACATATCCTCTAAGAAAACAGGGGGCAAGATCCTAAAATTTAAAAAGTGAGAAAAATTTTAAATTATAATTATTATTAATTGCACATTTGAAATGAAAACAAAAAAATCCAAAACTTGAAAATTTAGAAAATTAAAAAAAAACAATAAAATTGTAAATGGAAAAATTTGAAAAATGAAAGATTTAAACATCGAAAAAATATTTTCAAAAATTCATGAAATTGCAAAGCAAAAAATTGGAAGACCCAAAAATTGTAAAAATCGAAAAATTATAGAAAAATCGAATAAAAGAAAATGTTTTCAGAGCTAGTAATTGAAAAATGGAAAAATTCTAAAATTCAAAAAATGGACAATTTTAACAATTATAATTGTTATTAGCGACATATTTGAAACGAAAACTAAAAAGAAATGTAATTCAAAAGTTGAAGAAACTAAAAATGGAAAAATCGAGAAACTGAAAAATCTAAAATTGAAAAAAGGACAAAAATGAAAAAAATCTAAAAGTTGAAAATTTAAAAAATTGAAAATTTAAAAAATTGAAAACAGAAAAATTATAAATCCGAAAATTGAAAAAAAGAAAGAAAATTAAAATAGAAACGAAAAATTCTAAATGGATAAATTTAAAAACTAAAAAATGTCAAAAGTGCCAAAATCGGCCCTATCTTATCAAATACTAGCCCCGCCCACCCGCCCTTTATTTTCCTATAGAATGTCATTTGCCAAAATCTGTCTTATCTTAGCTAGTACTGGGTAAAATAAGACTGATTTTGGCAAATGACATAGCTTCTAAGAAAATAGAGGGTGGGTACTTTGTAAGATAACTGATTTTGGCAAATGACATACCCTTTTAGAAAACGAAAGATTATAAAAATGAACATATGAAAAATTGTAAATGAAAAAATTTGAAAAATGAAAAATTTAAAAATCGAAAAAATATTTTCAAAAAATTCATGAAATTGCAAACCAAAAAATTGGAAGACCCAAAAATTGTAAAATCGAAAAATTGTAGAAAAATCGAATAACAGAAAAAGCTTTCAAAGCCAGTAATTAGAAAATGGAAATATTCTAAAATCCAAAAATTCAAAAAATGAAAAATTTTCGTAAATTATAATTGTTATTAGTGACATATTTGAAATGAAAACTAAAAAGAAATGTAATTCAAAAGTTGAAGAAACGAAAAATGGAAAAATCGAGAAACTGAAAAATCTACAATTGAAAAAAAGAAAAAAAATTAAAAAAATCTAAAAGTTGAAAATTTAAAAAATTGAAAACAGAAACATTGTAAATCCGAAAACTGAAAATTTTCACATTGTAAAAAAAAGAAAAATTATAAAATATGAACACTGAAAAATGTCAAAAGTGCCAAAATCAGTCTTATCTTATCAAATACTAGCCCCGCCCACCCACCCTCTATTTTCTTGGAAGGTATCTCATTTGCCAAAATCACTCTTATCATAACAGGTACTAGGCCCGCCCACCCGCCGTCTCGTTTCTTAGAGGGTATGTCATTTGCCAAAGTCAGTCTTATTTTACCCAGTACTAGCTAAGATAAAACAGATTTTGGCAAATGACGCACCCCCTAAGAAAAGAGAGGGCGGGTGGGCGGGGATACTACTTAATGAGATAAGACTGATTTTCGCAAATTATCCTCCAAGAAAATGGAGGGCAAGATCCTAAAATTGAAAAAATGATTATTTTTTTTAATTATTTATAATGCAAAAGTTGAAGAAACGAAAAATGAAAAAAATCTAAAAGTTGAAAATTTAAGAAATTGAAAAATAAGAAATATTATAAAATATGAACATTGAAAAAAGAAATAAAATAAAAAACAGAAACAAAAAATCGTAAATGGAAAAATTTGAAAAATAAAAAATTGAAAAATTTAAACATCGAAGAAATATTTTCAAAAAATTCATGAAATTGCAAACCGAAAAATTGGAAGACCCAAAAATTGTACAATCGAAATATTATAGAAAAATCAAAATAGTAAAGTCGAAAATCTGTAATAATGAAACATCGAAAAATTGAAAAACTAAAAATCGAATAGAAGAAACAATTTTGAAAGCGAATAATTGAAAAATTGAAAAATTCTAAAATCCTAAAATTCAAAAAGGGATTTTTTTTTTTAAATTATAGTCATTAGTTACATATTTGAAATAAAAACTAAAAAAAAATTAAATCAAAAGTTGAAGAAACGAAAAATGGAAAAATCGAAAAACTGAAAAATCTAAAATTGAAAAAGCGAAAAAAATGTAAAAGTTGAAAATTTAAAAAATTGAAAACCGAAAAATTGCAAATCCGAAAATTGAAAAATTTCATATTGAAAAAAAAAGGAAAATTATAAAATATGAACATTGAAAAAAAAAGAAAATAAAAAGCAGAAACGAAAAATTCTAAATGGATAAATTTGAAAAATGAAAAATTGAAAATTCTAAAAATCGAAAAAAATTTTGTGAAACAAAAATAAAACTGAAAAGTGCTATATTTCAATTAGCGATTCTGGAGAAATAAAAAACTGAAAAATGAAAAACGAAAAAATCTAGAAGTTGAAAATTTTCAAAATTGAAAACCGTAAAATAATAAATTCAAGAACTGAAAAATTTTACATTGAAAAAAAAGAAAAATGTATTATAAAACAACATTGAAAAAATAAAGAAAATAAAAAACTGAAAAGAAAATTTGAAAAATCTGAAAATCTTCAAAAAATTCGTTAAATTGCAAATCGAAAAGTTGAAAATATTGAAATTGAGAAAACAAAAAATTATAAGATCGTATCATTGAAAAATCGAAAAATTGTAAAAATAAATTAAAAACCGAAACACAAAATCGAAAAATTTAAAATTGAAAACTCGAGAAAGTAAATGAAAACATGGAAAAATCAAAAAATTGTAAAAATCAAGAAAATAAAAACCGAAATGAAAAATTGAAATTTGAAAAATTTAAAATTGAAAACTCGAGAAACTTTAAATCGAAGAATTGCAATTAGAAAACTAAAAAAAAAGTAAATCAAAAGTTGAAGAAACGATAAATGGAAAAATCGAAAAACTGAAAAATCTAAAATTGAAAAAGCGAAAAAAATCTAAAAGTTGAAAATTTAAAAAATTGAAAACCGAAAAATTGCAAATCCGAAAATTGAAAAATTTCATATTGAAAAAAAAAAGGAAAATTATAAAATAGGAACATTGAAAAAAGAAAAAAAATAAAAAGCAGAAACGAAAAATTCTAAATGGATAAATTTGAAAAATGAAAAATTGAAAATTCTAAAAATCGAAAAAAAATTTTGTGAAACTAAAATAAAACTGAAAAGTGCTATATTTCAAATAGCGATTCTGGAGAAACGGTAGGAATTTTCGAAGAAACGAAGCCGAAAATGGATATCGAAATCTCCAAGAAAATTTTCGAAAATAGTTGAAACGTGGTCTAATATGTCAAAAGTGCCAAAATCAGTCTTATCTTATCAAATACTGGCCCCGCCCACCCACCCGCCCTTTATTTTCATATAGAATGTCATTTGCCAAAATATGCCTTATGTAGCTAGTACTTGGTAAGATAAGACTGATTTTGCTAAATGACCTACCCTTTAAGAAAATAGAGGGAGAGTGGGCGGGGCTAGTACTCCGTAAGATAACTGATTTTGGCAAATGACATAACCTCTAATAAAACGAAAAATTATAAAATATGAACATTGAAAAAAGAAAGAAAATAGAAAAACAGAAACAAAAAATTGTAAATGGAAAAATTTGAAAAATGAAAAATTGAAAAATGTAAAAATTGTACAGTCGAAAAATTATAGAAAAATCAAAATCGTAAAGTCGAAAAACTGTAATATTGAACCATCGAAAAATTGAAAAATCGAATTGAAGAAAAAATTTTAATGGAAAAATCGAGAAAGTGGGAAATCAAAAATTGAAAAAACGAAAAAGGAAAAAATCTAGAAGAACCAAAAAATTCGTTAAATCGTAAATCGAAAAATTGAAAATATTGAAATTAAGAAAATAAAAAATTATAAGATCGAATCATTGAAAAGTCGAAAAATTGTAAAAGGAAAGAAAATAAAAACCGAAATGAAAAATTGAAATTAGAAAAATTAAAAATTGAAAACTCGAGAAACTTTAAACCGAAAACTAGCAAATTATAGAAAAATTGAAGAAACTAAAAAAAAATAAAAATAAAGAAAATAAACCGAAAAGAAAAATTGTAAATCGAAAAATTGCAAAATCGAAAAACTTAAATATCCAAATGTAGGAAAATCAAAGAATTGAAAAATTTTAAAATAAAAATTCGAAAAATTAAAGAAATAAAAAACTGAAACTTGAGAAATTTTAGATCGAAAAATTGAAGTAACAAAAAAGTGAAAAACTGGATGATCGCATATCAAAAATTTGAAAAAATTAAAATTGAAAAATTCATAAGCTGCAAAAAGCAAAAACCGAAAAATTTAAACCTGAATCTCGAAAAATTGCAAATGGAAAAACCGACAAAAACCAAAAAAAAAAATAAAAAAAACGGCCAAAAAGCTGCAGGAGTGTTTTCTACGCCACTGGTTTTTACTTTATAGAGGTTAGCTAAAAACAAAAATCACAAAATTTTCTGTCGAAATTAATTTTCGATCTTTTTTTTTTTTTCAGTGAATTGTTATAAGTTGAAAAGTTGGTGCTGTGATTAAATGACACCTATATGACATTCCAAAGATGACTAGATAATTATATTGAAATTTAATTTTAATTATTCATTCTTAATGTCTTTAATATCTGCAATAAAACGGAGTCACACAGTGTAAATTTATATATTCGTATATTTATGTATTTATTCTGTACGGTCGAAAACATTTTGGTTTAGAGTTGGCTCTAAATCAGTTTCGAGTTCCGCGCTTGCGATTGTTTTTCAAAATTGAATTTTATGTTGTTTCTAGGTCGCATCAGCTTAAAATGTGTTGTTTTTCCGCAGATTCGACTTCAAGGGCATTATTGATTACATATTCTACGCGAAACAGACAATGACGCCATTAGGTTTGCTGGGCCCTCTGTCATCCGAGTGGTTAACGCAAAACAAAGTAATCGGCTGTCCACATCCGCACGTTTTCTCCGACCATTTTCCTTTGCTTGTTGAACTTGAAATGGTGCCAACCGTGTCCGCACCAATTAACGGCATAATCGGTCACAGGTGAGTTCAGAGAGCGCGCTTTCAAATGTAACCGGTTGGTTCAAATTTAAAGGACTTACGGAAAGATCCACAGAAAGGCCATGGTCATTTAGCGTAGTCCAGATAATAGTTAGAGCTGTATTGTGATGAAGCTGTGATGTAATTTATTAAGTTTGTGATATACCTAGTAAAAAAAGTGATAAAAAAAGAGGGAGTATTTTATTTAGATCGAGTCCAAGATGACCGCCAGGAAAGTAAGTAAGTTGACAACGAAGGCGGGTACGTCACGAACTGGTTACTTTTTGTTGTTGTTGTTGTTTGGGGATTTTTGTGGCGTGGGGACTGAATGGTGGCACTTTGTTTGGTTATAGGTAGCAACCGGCGGAGTCTAGAAATTAGCCATTGTCGCCTTTGCATTTGTTGTACCTGTTACATCATGCAGACAGTACATCATCTTCATTGTATCTTTCGGAAATGGTACCTGACGGCATCGTCCTAAACCACCAAACACCATCTAATTTTAAAAACAGTGTTCTTTAGTATCGGCGCACACTATATAAGTTTTTCTGCATATGACTGTGCATTATATGCTGTAATCATCGTTCTGTAATATTATGTGTATAATATTGATTGATTGAATTTACTGTGATTTTTTTTACATCTCTTTGTATGATTTTTTATGCATGTTTTGCACAATCATACCCGGTCTTGGTCGTGTCTCACAGAGTTTTGTATAAAGGAAATTGTTGTATGGTTTTCTTTTTTTCACTTGCTTTAATTATTACATAAGGAACGGAAAATATTGAGCATGTACAGATTTTAACGCGATAGGAAGTATGCATACTTCAGAGGTTTGAGGTTGGTAACAAGTTTTCTGTAATATAATTTTATTGTGTTGTAACTGTAAGTAAGAGTTTGTAATTTATGTCTAGTACTTCTGAAGTACGTATTTTAAAATTTTATGTACTATTTAACGAGTAAATATTGGTTTGGAATATTTATTGGTGCATCAAGGAGAGATCTGTATTTGCAAATATTTTTAGAAGAATTATGATAAAAGTAATTTAATTAATTGTTACAGTGATATTTTGTGATGATAGGATCTATCCTGCTGCCACTTAATAAATATTTTCTTTCGCTTTTAAAACAGATAGGTATAATCATCGTCATCCATTGTGTAAATAAGTTGTAATCTCGTCTTTTAATTGAGCTCGGTTGTGCATATTAGTTTTTCTTAGAAGACATTTGAGTTTTACATGTAACATTTTAGTCGTATTATACATACTTGATTTTTATCTTTTTATTTGATTTTGTACAAAATGTAAATTTTCCTTCATTATTTTTATACAGTCAGAGTTCGAGACGTCATACAAGCTAACTGAAAATAATAGTACTAATGAATAGTCATTTTGTACTGCATCATGAGAAGTATATCCAATTAAATAATTTAAACTTCCAGACGCTTACTTTTCTAGAAAACTTCAAAAAGAATATAATAAAAATTTTTATACACAAAACATATTTTCGACAGTGTAAAAAATAAGCAATAGCTTACCAACGTTTGTAAAAAAAAGTCTTCGGGGTAAAAATTCATTCTCTTGGTTCGGTTTTCGTTTTAGCGATCTAGAACCTCAGATAAATTAGCAATAGGTTATTGTGCAATGAAATCTGTAACCAAACAAACAGGAACAACATACAGATTTTGTTGTTGGAATTTTTTATCGTAGTTTTATTTTACGCTTGATTGTTGTAGTAATTGTTTAGCAATGTTCTTTATATCAAAAGAGGCCTAAACATTTTCAGCTTTTCGGTGTTCTATCTGAATCCTGTACCGGAACTCAAAATGAAACAACTTCATTTCTATTACAACGACAAAATTCATTTCTCCCTGTTTTAGTTTGCGTTAGGTACTTAATGTCAAAATTTCATGTCATGATTTACCCAGATCTCAAATTTTATAACTAATTTTTAATACATTTTGGTAGTGCTTATGGTAATGGACAATGGTTTTTAACATAATTAAGTTTAATTATTCTTAGGTGTTCTTTAACAAATATTTATGTAAAATAGTAAGAAAATAAATACACTTGGACCATTATCTCACATATTTTATCAACCCCCACTACACTTCATATTGTTCCACATAATTTCTGCCCCGCCCACCCACCCGATCTCAATTGTGATGATTTTTAACTGCAAAATCCTTATTTCCCTACAATAAATAAAAAACATTTTTGAGCATCGTGTTGTTCAAAAAATACTATCTATGTACATTAAGAAAAATTAAGTCAAAGATTAGGCCCCACCCATACCCGCCCCGATCTTAATTCTCAATTGTGACGAATTTTTCATTCGTTGTCAGATCGAGGGGAGGGGCTTAATTGCAAGATCCATATTTTTCCACAAGAATTTACCATTTTAAACATGGTTCAAGTTTTCTTGTTCTGAAAAGACGACTACGTATATTAAGAAAAAAGGCAAAATATAAGCCCCGCCCACCCGCCCGATCTCAATTGTGATGAAGTTGTCATTCGTTGTCAGATCGAGGGGCGGAGCCTAATTGCAAAATCCATACTTCCGTACAAAAATGCACCATTTTAAACGTGCTTTAAGTTTCTAAGAATAAAAAAAAATCATCACAATTGAGATGGGGTGGGTGGGCGGGGTTTATACTTTGCCTTTTTTTTAATGTACATAGTATTCTTTGAATACCCAAAACATGGTACAACAAGTATTTGCAGTTAAGCTCCGCCTCCCTTGATTCATGGCGAATAAAAAAATCATCACAATTGAGACAGGGCGGGTGGGCGGGCTTACATTTTGCTTTTTTGTTTTAATATTTGCAGACTTCTTTTCACAACATGAAACTTAAAATATGTTTAAAACTGAAAATTTACATTAGGAAATCTCGATTTTGCAATTAGGCTCCGCCCCATAATTATAACATTTTAACCGCGTTTTAAGCTTCTTGTTGTGAAAAAATGTATGTTAGGAAAAAAAAGGAAAAATATAAGCCCCGCCCACCTGCCCTGATCTAAATAGTAATGAAGTTTTCATTCGTTGGCAGACCTAGGGGCGGAGCCGAATTGCAAGAGACATATTTTCGTACAATTTTAAACCAGTTTTAAGTTTCTAAGAATAAAAAAATCATTACAATTGAGATGGGGTGGGTGGGCGGGGTTTATATTTTGCCTTCTTTTTCTTCATGTACATAGTATTCTTTGAATAACACGATATTCAAAAACATGGTTTTTATTTCTTCTAAAGAAATAAATACTTTGCAGTTAAGCTCCGCCCCCTTGGCTCACGATAAATAAAGAAAAATCGTCAGAATTGAGATAGGGTGGGTGGGCGGGCTTAGATTTTGCCTTTTGGTTTTAAGTTTTGCAGACTTCTTTTCACAACATGAAACTTAAAATATGTTTAAAATGGAAAATTTATATAAGAAAATCTCGATTTTGCAATTATAACATTTTAACCATGTTCTAAGTTTCTTGTTGTCAAAAGATGTATATTAAGAAAAAAAAGGCAAAGATTTGTGGCTCCACCCATACCCGCCCCGATCTCAATCTCAATTGTGATGAATGTTTCATTTGTTGTCAGGTCGAGGGGCGGGGCTTAACTGCAAGATCCATATTTGTCTAGAAGAATTTACTATTTTAAACATGTTTTAAGTTTCTTGTTTTGAAAAGACGACTACGGATATTAAGAAAACAGGCAAAATATAAGCCCCGCCCACCCACCCTGTCTCAATTGTGATAGTTTTTTTTTAATCGTCGAGAGCCAAAGGAGCAGAATTTAATTGCAAAATCAGTATTATTTCTCAACAAGAAATTCTTGAGTATTGTGTTATTCAAAGAATACTATGTATATTAAGAAAAAATTAAAGCCAAAGATTAAGTCCCACCCATACCTGACCTGATCTAAATAGTAATGAAGTTTTCATTCGTTGGCAGACGTAGGGGCGGAGCCTAATTGCAAAAACCATATTTCCGTACAAATTTACCGTTTTAAACGTGTTTTAAGTTTCTAAGAATAAAAAAATCATCACAATTGAGATGGGGTGGGTGGGCGGGGTTTATATTTTGCCTTCTTTTTCTTCATGTACAACACAGTATTCTTTGAACACGATACTCAAAAATATGGTTTTAATTTCTTGTAAAGGATAAGTATTTGCAGTTAGGCTCCGCCCGTCTTGATTCATGGCGAATGAAAAAATCATTACAATTGAGACAGGGTGGGAGGGCGGGCATATATTTTGCCTTTTTGTTTTAATATGTGTAGACTTTTTCACAACATGAAACGTAAAATATGTTTAAAATGGAAAATTTATACATATAAGGAAATCTCGATTTTGCAATTATAACATTTTAACCACGTTTTAAGTTTCTTGTTGTGAAAGGATGTATGTTAGGAAAAAAAAAGGCAAAATATATGCCCCGCCCACCCGCCCTATCTCAATTCTGTTGATTTTTTTTTATTTGTCGTGAGCTTAACTGCAAGATTTTGATTTCTCTTCGAAAAATTAAAAACATGATTTTGAGTATCGTGGTGTTCAAAAAATACGTTTATATTAAGAAAAATAAAGCCAAAGATTTGTGGCTCCACCCATACCCGCCCCGATCTCAATCTCAATTGTGATGAATTTGTCATTCGTTGTCAGATCGAGGGGCGGGGCTTAATTGCAAGATCCATATTTGTCTAGAAAAATTTACAATTTTAAACATGTTTTAAGTTTCTTGTTCTGAAAAGACGACTAAGGATATTAAGAAAACAGGCAAAATATAAGCCCCGCCCACCCACCCTATCTCAATTGGGATATATATTTTTTTAATCGTCGATAGCCAAAAGAGCGGAATTTAATTGCAAAATCAGTATTGTTTCTCTACAAGAAATTTTTGAATATCGTGTTATTCAAGGAATACTATGTATACTTAGAAAAAATTATAGTCAAAGATTAGGCCCCACCCATACCTGCCCTGATCTAAATAGCGATGAGGTTTTCATTCGTTGGCAGAGCTAGGGGCGGAGCCTAATTGCAAACTCCGTATTTCCGTACATAAATGTACCATTTTAAACGTGTTTTAAGTTTCTAAGAATTAAAAAAAAAATCATTACAATTGGGCGGGGTTTATATTTTGGCTTTTTTTTTTCTTAATATACACAGTAATTTTTGAACAACACGATACTCACAAACATGTTTTTAATTTCTTGTAAAGAAATAAATATTTTGCAGTTAAGCTCCGCCCCCTTGGTTCACGGCGAATAAAAAAATCATCACAATTGCAATAGGGCGGGTGGGCGGGCTTAGATTTTGCCGTTTTGTTTTAATTTTTGCAGACTTCTTTTCACAACATGAAACTTAAAATATGTGTAAAATGGAATATTTTTATAAGGAAATGTCGACTTTGTAATTAGGCCCCGATAATTCATATTTCCTTGCAAAAATGTACCATTTTAACCATGTTTTAAGTTTCTTGTTGTAAAAAGATGGCTATGTATATTAAGAAATAAAAAGGCAAAATATAAGCCCCGCCCACCCGCCCTATCTCAATTCTGATGTTTTTTTTTATTCGTCGTAAGCCGAGGGGCGGAGCTCATTTGTAAAATCCTTATTTTTCTACGAGAAATTACCATGTGAAATATATTCTTAAGTAATCGTTTTAAATAAAGAAAAGTAAATGTATTAATCGACCTTAAAGCGTGTAGAATAACAAGGAATAATTTATATTGTTAGATTTTAAAAGTAGTAACAATGGGTGATATGAATAAAACTGAGTAGATGCTCATACTCGAAGTACGAAGTACCTACTTGAGTATCAAGTACATTAAGTAGATGCTCAGGTAATAGGTAAGTAGATACTCGCTAATACGGAAGTAAGTACTTCGTAGTTCAAGTTTCAGCATCTAGTCAGTTTTATTCATACCAGCATACCACCCATAATTGGCTTTACGCGTTTGGTTTACATTAAGAGCGAGTAATCAAAAGATGTTCTATCTAATGTATACACTTGAATGGAAAAAAATTCTTATCCATAATGTTTTATTAACCACTTCATTGTGAGTCGTTGAAACTCATATTCAGCATAGACACAATTTCAAACTGTAAAAGTGTAGCGCTGGAAAACTGAAATATGTAATTTCTGGTAAGTGAAACATCTCTAATTTCTCCAAGTTAAATTGTAAAAATGACAGTTGAACGCCGTGTGAACTTATCCGAGACACCCTTCCTCCGTCACTTACGGAATGATTTCCAACGTCGCCTTGATCTCCAAAATTCTCGCCTATTTATCACTCCATAAAAATAACCACCATGCATTTATTATTGTAATAACTGCTAATTCGTGTCGTTAATCAATATTTTGTTATCTTCATCTTTTAATAAAGCGTTTAATATCACAAAACTGACGTGTGTCATTCCACGTGTGTTGCCACCAAACCCCCCGGCCCCAAAATCCCTAAAACTACGTCACCATTGCAAATGTGCGGTTATGTAGTTCGGTGTTTTTAAACTCTTCAACACTTCCTAAACAAGAAACCCAGATATGTTGACAGCAAATGAATATTTAAACATAGAGGATTATGCGTTTAAGAGTTCCCCCGAATCCTGCAGTGGCAATTCGTGCTTTACAGGTAACACGCCCCCCAGATCATTCACCCTTGTCTACACCACCATGTTCCAGACTGCACCGACTTGCCATCCGATGAAGACTTCCTCCAACAGCTGTCGTCCGACTTGGACATCCCCCTCTTGCTAAACCCCGGCGAAGATGAACTGAGCTTACTAAATTCATTTTTTGACAAGAGCCCCGATGAGATCATGTCAGAGATAGTGTCACCCTCGTCGCCCAAGTTCGACGAAATCGCCGAAAACTTCGGCGACTTCGACCCGATGAAATCCATGCCGGACTTGTGCTCAGAAGTGAAAATTGAGCCCTCAGACAGCTGCAGTTCGTCGGGGTCGAACAAATCCATCTCGCCGGTGCAGTCCCCCAAAGATGGGGTGAATTTTTTCGAGATCAAGGACGAGGTGAAAATCGAGCCGCACTCGCCGGGGTCGGTGGCCAGCGTGCACAAAACTGAGATCGATTCAAACATACTAATTTCAACGATTTCAAACAGCCGAGTGAAAATCGTGCCGCAGACTCTGGTCAAGAAAATACCAATTCAGACGAGGGTTGCGACGAGCACGCCGAAGAGTAAAGTGGTGGTTTTGCAAAACGCGGACTTGAAGCGGAGCGCGGCGACCCCTGGGGGCCCGGCGCCGCAGAAAGTCGTGGTTTTGGAGAATTTGGCCACGGTGCCGGTGACCACGGTTGCTCAAATACCCACGACGCTCACCAATTCGGTTATGAAGAGCACAGTGTCGCCGGTTATTTTGACAGGGAGTAATAACGTAGCTTTAAATGTGACTAGTATTGACCCAAAAATGCTGAAGCGGCACCAAAGGAAGATTAAAAATCGAGAGTCGGCGTGTCTGTCTAGAAAGAAGAAAAAGGACTACTTGACGTCGTTGGAAACTCAAGTGAAGGATTTACAAACTGAAAATCACCACTTGAAATTGGTAACTAAATGTGGGGTGATTTTACTTATTTATTGATTTTGTTTTTGTAGGAAAATCAGCAACTCAAAGAGCGGCTAATGAAGTACGAAGGCACCCCAATACAAAAGAGTTCAAGCAACGTTAAAACGAATATCATATTATGCATGTTCCTGTTTTCAGTGGCCTTTCACGTAGACTATATTAGGTTAGATTTTTTTTGTTTTCGTAACTTTTCTACAATTGCGTGTTGTAGAAACCCGTGGTTGTCACGAAGTGAAGCCAACCTTTTACAAGCAGACCCACCGAAAGTGTTAGATCACCATGGGAGAAATTTATTGTGGGCTGCAGATGATGTATTGGAGAAAAACGGGTCAAATTTTTCTCCATTTTCGATGTGTCCGGCTTCAATAAACCAAACCGAAAGTGCCAGATTAGCGCTGGAGCTGGAAAGGTAAACAATTGCGTTCTAACTACGAAACCAGTTTTTTTGCGCGAATAAACAACAAAAAATGAACAAAGAATCGAAGCGTGAGTCGTCGTTTGACTTTTCAAACTTTGTTACTAAACCTGACGGCAACAAAATACCCAAGTGTGTAATGCTAAAATTTAATTTTTTTACATTTTTGGGTTGGTGGTATTCGCGCCTTGGTATTCCTACGCCGAATAAATGACAGTTAATTTTCGATTCGCGCAAATCTCTAGTCTTTCCACTTTTATACTATTATATGTTTGATTAATCGGCGTACCTTGAAGTACACACATTTTTAAACACCCAAAACAAATAAAAATAAATAAACGCTCGCCAGATCTACTTTTTGCTGCGGAAACTTTAGTAACTTATGTCATTATATCAAGATTGAGTCGAGAGGGATTCTCGACCGCGCTACTTCTCTTGATTCTTGATTTTTCGACAAACTTATCGTAGATGGATTGGCAAACCAAAAGAAACCACCGACAAGGAAGCCACTCCCAACACCACCCGCCTCAGCGTCGCCGACACTAAACCAAAGTCAGTGCGTAAAAGAAAACCGAGAAAGTACGAATCGACTTTTCTCTCTTCAGTCTACGACAATCACGTTAGCAATAAACTTTCGACTGCGGAATCCAACGAGCTTCAGGTCTTTGCGCCCACTCTCGAGCAGCTCTATAGCGAGTTTTTCGAGGCGATTAACCGCCAAGACGACACTTTCTACGTGGTGTCGTTCAGCGACCACCACATGTTGTTACCAGCGCTCCACCACAACAAAACCAGGAGACCGAAGATGTCGCTAATAATGCCTTCAGTGTTACCTAGTGGTAAGTGACCGACCGTGTGACGAATACTCGTTCGTGATTGGTGCGTTGTTTCAGAGAATATGACCCAGCCTACTTTGGTGCCTCTAATGCAGATAGATTGCGAAGTTCTGGACACAAGATTGATACAGGTGAGGTACGGGTCTATACCGCAGCATTTAAGGACACATGGTAACGCGACATATCAGAATAACGATAGCGTAAGTAAACCGAGTGAGTCCACCGCCAACTATACAACCAGAAAAGCGTATAAGCCTTATTTTATAAAACAGAAAGCGGTGAGACCCAGTGAACGTCGAGATCTCTACAATTAACGTAGTTTTCTTTTAACGTAATTTATTCTTTGTGTGCATGTAAACCAAAAATTCTTATTTTAGGTGAGTAGAGTGTGCTTTACTTTGCAATGAAATGTGATACTTGTATTTTTTACGTAAATAAATTGGAATTGTCGCACTGTGTAACTATGAAACGATACAACAGTGAAGATAAATTTATTTAAGATTTGCTTGGTGGTGGTTGTATATTTTTTAGAAGAGTGTACATATTTTTTGATCTTCAAGTAGTACAGGATGAGTTAACACTTTTTTGTACTTTTCATGTGTGTAAAAACCAATAGTTTTAAGTCAAAGACCCGTATTTATGTAAGTTTTGTTAATCGTAACCTTGTACCTGAGTGCAACATCACCATATTGTTAGCTCATTCAATAAGAATTTTGGTTTAAATGGTTAACTACTAATAGAAAGCACTTGGGTGTGAATATTCATGCGTGTAGAGTGCATTTTTAGAAAGTTTTAGTGTGTGCTACACATGTGATTTTTTCTATTGTACATACAATAAACGGATGAAAATAAATTGGAAGTAACTTCACTTGTGCGCATGTGCCTCCTAAATAACCTACAAACTAAACTTGCTAATAATAATTCTAGTAGTTGCTTAAGTATCCCAAAATGTAACTATGTTAAAAATCATCCAGGTATCCATTTAAGCTATGAACAATTAAAACTAAAGTATACTTAATACTGCAATTCATGTGTTATTATCATTATCTTTTTTGTTGTGTTGATAAGTGTCAAGGGGGTACATTAACACTGCATTAAGCATGATGGGAATACATAATTACCAAAGTTCACAACGGTGTAAATCAAATTAACATTTTGTATAGTGTAAATAAACACGTCGAGTTTTAACTCTTCTTTTACGTATATTTAGCTGGAGGGGTAGGACGTTTTAAAATGGAACTTTCGTACCAGAAAATAGAATTTTATCAAAACATTTGTCGCATACAAAATAAATGCAAATAAACAACGGTTGAACTTCAGTCCAAGCAGGTGACCTTCCAACATCGTATCTGGTGTCTGAACAAGATTGTTACTTTTGTTGCTAAATTGATCCAATAATTATAAAACAATTCAGATATAAGCGACATTCACAGGTCATCCGCGTTATCAACCTTGTTTATTTACGTTGCATAACATGTTTATGTTTAATTATACAGGTTTTATACTTGACACAAATGTATGCAAAACAGCCTCATTATCATTTCAAGTCCGGCGTGCTGCTCCCTAAATAGCATTTCAAATCTTGCATCGTCGACTTAACCAACTTGACTTTAATAGTAGGTGACTTAAGCTTCTTATGCGCGGCGTAGCGGTGGCAACCCCCGAAACTGTAAAAATAATTCCCACCTTCACGTCCGACGATCCATAAGACGTCTATGGGCGGAACTTCGTCCTTCTTCTGTGGATGGGACAAGGTTTCCATTAAAGACGCCACTTTGGCGTCGTCGAGTTCTGGTTGGAAGGGGCGTATGAGGGCGGACATGGGCATGTCGTGGACTTCTTCGATATTTCGAGCGTGGATACTCATTGTAGTGAAACTGTAAATTGTGAGAAGTCACAACAGACGACAGACTAATGAACTGTGATAATTTGATACTGTGTTGTGAGAATGGGTGGATTTTATTGGTGTCTGGTGCGCACTGCGCCGAGTTTAGTGTTTTGTTGCTAATAGTGTCTTCGGTAAATTGTTTTATTGACACCGCGTCTATAAATAACTCGGACGTTTTATGATTTATTTATTCGGTTGTGATAAAGCGGTGCCTTTAATGATTGTTAAACGCGGTTTTATTTTCAAACTTCAATGATGACGTTAATCTGACATTTGCATTTAGGGGAATGTGGATACGCCAACAAAAAGAAAATGAAATATGATTTGGTTGCTTAACACTAAAAAATTTTTTCACAAAAAATTGTCGTTCAAATTATGATTGCATACCCTGCCTGTCATAAAATCGAAATTCCCTAATTCGAACAAAGTAACCAAAAATAACATCAACTTTGAATTCGCTTTTTTGTGACAAATGTGTAAATAAACACCCAGATTCTCTAAAATCTTTTAACTTAAGTCATTCTCAGTGCAAAGCCCCCCAACACAAGGTCCATTTCTCCAGTCATGATTTGTAGGTTATGTTTACATCAGGGTACCGACGACTTCATTTCTGTATTAAACAACGACCACATCGTCGAAAAAATACGAGAATGTGTATCCATAGAGGTAATAAATGCAAAAAGGCAGCGAATTTTCTAATAAAAGCGCTAGATTGCAGACAACGACGATTTACCCACAACTGCCTGCACTTCATGCATTCAGAAGGTTGAAGATTGGTGGATCTTTAAAGATTCGTGTTTGAAAACCAACAACGTGCTCTTGGAATTGTGTCGGGAGAAAGTGCGCAGACGAGATGAACCCGAATCAGAAGTCAAAGAAGTCATAATAGTGAAAGAGGAATTACGAGAAGTAAAAACTTAGTTAATTGATAAATAATTCATACTCAAGTTATAATTGTAGCCTGACTCGAGTTACATTTGCGAGATATGCTCAAAGCGATTTAACACGTGCCTGGAGCACCTGGAGCACCAATCCACCCACAACGGCTCACCAGTGTACAAATGTGATAAATGTGAAGAGGTGTTTTCATCCCGAGACGACTTAGTTGAACACGACCGAAACCACAAGCTCCCGTGCCCCAAATGCGGCAAGCTCATCCTCAAAACTAGTCTGAAGTTGCACCTGGTGCTGCACACTGATAAACACATGTAATCAAACAATATAAATCGTACAATTACACAATTACAAGCTATTTCAGGTGCTCCCAGTGCTCCAGCCGCTTCACCTCCAACTCCACCCTCCAGCAGCACATAATCACCCTCCACACCAGCCAAAGAGACCACGTTTGCGAGACCTGCGGCAAGCGCTTCGCTTCAAAAACTGCAATGACCGTGCATTCGCGCTCCCACAGCGACGAGAGACTCTACAAGTGCAAAAGTTGTGACTATGCGGGCCGGACTGCCTCGGCTTTGTACGTCCACATGTCCACGCATTCGCAAGAAACGTGCGTCTGCGAGGTCTGTTCAAAGATTTTTAAGAGCAATAGGAACTTGAACGATCATTTGAGGCGAACGCACCGCAAGGAAAAGAATCACCAGTGTACGCGGTGTGATAAGAAATTTGTGGATAGGTATAGGCTGACTGTGCATATGAGGTGTCACACGGGGGTGAAGCCCTATGTTTGTCGGTTGTGCGACAAGGCGTTTATTAGGTCGGATGGGTTGAAGGATCATATGGCCACACATGGAGACAGGGTGTGGTATCCGTGTGAGAAGTGCGGGAGAAAGTTTGCGTCGAAGAAGGGGGTGACGAGGCACAACTGCACGGGGGAAATCGCGTGATTTTTTAATTTTGAACAAACTTGACAACATAACCTCACTTTTATGTTGAATCGCAAAATTAACAAAAATGTGATCAGAGGGGTTATTAAATAGATGCAAGTGTTTTTATACATATCTTTTCTGTGTAAATAGTAATATAATTACGTCTTATCGATCTCAATCTATAATTTATTGTAACATAACCTCACTTTTTTTGGACTGACTAAAATTACCAACAATTAGCAATTCGAGTCAATTGAAATTGATTTTAATGATGGAATGGTAATTAAATGCAAAACAGCGAGGTCTCGTGATTTTTTAGTCCTTTTAGAGAATACAAACTTGAAAATATAACCTCACTTTTATGTTGAACCCCAAAATTAATAAATATGTAATCACGAAGGTTATTAAAAGATGCAAGTGTTTTTATACTAACCTTCGTGTGTAAATAATAATATTACTGTTGTCGATCGAATTATATTCTACATCTGTAACATAACCTCACTTTCTATGAATTCACCAAAATGACCCCACAATTAAGCAATTTGAGTCAGCTGAACATTGATTTTAATCGATAATTGCACGCAAAAGTAACCGGGTTTTTTCGCGTTTTATAATTGCTAAAACATAATTGTTGCAGTGCCCACCTAACCTCACTTTTTTCTGCTGAGTTGTCATGGGTGCCCCCACGATAATTCTTCTCTTTAGCGGCAAACGCAAATCCGGGAAGGATTACATTTGCGAAAAGATCAAGTCACAGTAAACTGAGTAAGCGACATCGAAATATAAACTTTACCTTGAAGATTTTAGTTTTGGCGTGGAAAAATGCACTGTTGTGAGAATTTCAGGGCCACTGAAGGGATTGTATGCGAAAAATCATAACTTGGACTTCCAGGAGCTGCTAAGTGATGGTCCTTATAAAGAAAATTATCGCGCTGATATGATTAGGTGGAGCGATAAAATTAGGGAAAAGGAGCCTGGGTATTTTTGTAAAGCGGCGTGTGATGAGGGTTTTATTAACGAAAAAGTGACTATAATATTTATTTATCGTTGACTTTGTAGCTGATTTGGCGCCAGTTTGGATTGTGAGTGACATCAGGAGAAAAACTGATGTTCAGTGGTTTAAAAGTGAGTATAGCGATAAAATTAGAACAATCAGAGTGGAAGCTGATTTAGACACTAGAAAGAACAGAGGGTGGATTTTCACTGAAGGTGTTGATGATGTGGATTCAGAATGCAATCTGGATGATTTTAGCGACTGGGATTTACAAATTAAAAACAGCAATGAAACTGAACTCCAGTCAGGTCTCCATAAAATTACAACTCTAGTGAATTCAGTATTAATGTAGGTGCACACAGTTTTGATATTTATATTTTTACAGTATAAGGTTTTATATTTACAATTTTTTATACATCATCACAAGAACATTGATTTTTATCAATTCCAAAATATAATTTATTTTTCTTTTGATACGCCCACGACATTCTATTAGTACTGAACCCAATTCCAACTTCTCCAGTCCTGGATAGAGTAATAGCCCCCGCAGTATTATTCAGTCTTTGCGTCATCACATCAATGCATTTTTTCGTGGCTTCATCAGCACTCTCCCCATTTCCCATCCCTCTAATAATAGCATGCGCTAAACAAAACTTGGCTATACTTTCCCCATGCCCAGTCGTCGAAACCGCCCCTATTTCATCATCCGCATACGTGCCACTGCCCAACATACACGTATCGCTCGACCTCCCCGCCATTTTACCTTCTCTTCCCCCAGTAGAAGTGGCAGCTGCCAGTCTCCCCTTGCTATCAATCCCGACAGCCCCCACAGTCCCCATTTCCGACGGAGCGCCCCCATGCTTCAGTTTCCACTTCGCCAAAGCTTCAAGCGTGGCCGGAGTCACAAGAGCCCCAGGCTCCAGCGGTTTTACCCCCTGATCCACCGCAAACCTCTTCGCCCCTTCACCCGCCAGCAACACATGACCGGTTTTCTCCATCACTAACCGCGCCAACGCGATGGGGTTTTTGATGTCTTTGACCACAGTCACGGCACCGGCGCTTAAATCAGACCCCACCATAATACTGGCGTCCATTTCCACTTCGCCGTCTAGGGTCAAATAGGAGCCGCGACCGGCGTTGAAAACTTCGTTGTCTTCCATTAGTTCGACGGCGGCTTGGACGGCGTCCACGACGCTGCCCCCGGACCGCAGGACTTGGTACCCCTTTTTGGCCGCTTCTTTCACCCCTGCGATTACCCGCTCGGCTTTTGCGAAGTCGCTGATGGTGCCGGCGCCCCCATGGACCAAAATCACCGGTTCTACGTCAGGCATGGTTAACCATCGAGGTCTTAAATACCACTGGAATAATTTGCGGCGAAGATTAAAATACTGAGATAAAATTTTTGTTTGTTTTGATTGTGAAACGTCATTCGAGTTTGAAGTTTTAGGTTTTTTATTGTCGCGCGGTTGGTGTGCCAATCACGTGATAGCTGCGACGTTTATAATTGGTTTGTTTGTGACCATTGTGACGTTTCATCGATTTGACAGCTGTCAAACGTGTCTTTGACGACATTAACAAGTTTTTGCGTTTGTAATTTTAGTTGAGGCTTATTTTCGCATTCGTAAGTGTGCACTCACAATATAGTTTATTTACGTGGCACTCTTTTAGTTTAACGTTGTTTTCTTCTGGCACGATGGCTGCTTCTGCTCGTATGATGTCTAACATTAAAAGGCTTCTACAAGCCGGAAAAATCCGTGATGATACTCACAATGGCATACTTTCTATAAGTTTTAATTCGCACGTAGCTGAAGTGGAGTACGAGCGACGAGGCAACGTGTATGATTTAACACACACGAGTATACCTGATGAACTGCAGGGTCATGGTTTAGGCACTATTTTGGCAGAGGTAGATTTGTCTAGAATTGATTAGTTTTTGTGCTTATTCTAAAATGCAATGACGTTTCTGGGTCATGTGACCGGTAGACTACCAATAGGAAGTGGGTGTGTAGTAACGTGGTCATGGCGGCCACCAATGACAAACGAGAGCGCCATTTTAGTTCACACTAATATTTCGTAGTGCTTTACACTCGTTTTTTTATAAAATTAACACACTTTGTAACAGTCTACACATGCGCATTCTTCTTTTCAGAGAATTTTTGACCACCTCATCCAAAACAACCGGAAAATTAAGCTAACCTGCGAGTTTTTGGAGCAGTTTTACGCCAAAAACGAGGACAAGTACAGCCGATATGTAGTTAATGATACTGATTAATCAGCACAAATAAAAACTTACCAAACCCTTCACTATTTTTTTCGACGATGGAGGAGGACGAGCTCGATTTCGCTTCAAAAATATTTTTTTATTTTCGCGAGAGGTACTACAACTCGATGATCGGGGCCTGCAAAGAAGCCGTCACGAAATTTAGGAGTGAAGGCCCCTTTCGTCTGTACCACGCACTCGCACTTCTGTTAAACAACCGTCTGGAGGAGTGCATCAACGAACTCGACACCATTAAAGACGAAAACAACGTCAAACTCGCCGCGATTATAGCCCTCATGTACGCGCATAAAATCATGGGGGTGTCCAACAAAGACTTGTTTCATAAGTTGGACTCGCAAGTCCGCGAACTGCGCAAAAACTCAGAAGCGATTGACTTCTGCTACTCGGGGTTCGTTCTTTGGGTTTTAAACAAACCGGAGAAGGCGCTGGATTATTTGGACAAGTCTTTGAACATCCAGTCGGACTTGGCGGAAGCGCTGACTCTAAAAGGGTGGATTTTGGTACAACTGAAGAAATCCGGGCACAAGGTGGGTCAAAACATCACAGAGGTGTTTGACGCGTCGCTTAAGAACAACAAGCGGAATTTGGACGCCATTTTGGGGGTGGCTGAAAGCCACCTGTGTCAGAATAAGTTTGAAGAAGCTTTAGACGCGGTTAACAAAGCGGTCGTGCGATTCCCGAATTCGCCTCTCCCGTTGATCCAGAAAATGCGAATCCAGTTTGCCTCGCAAGACTGGGAACAAACCGTGGAAACTATGAACCGCATCACCAACGACGATATCGAAAACCTGGACGCCCAAAAAATCAACATCTTGATGCTCCTGTGCCGGGACGCCAACTACGAAGAAGCCGCCTCCTGCACTAAAAAGTTCGTCGCAGATATGGAGTCCCAGGAGCACAAAAACGGCAAAATACTCCTCGAGAACGCGCAACTATTTTCCAAAAACTGCAGCCGAAACGGCGAAGTCCTAAAAGAGACGTACAAGATGGTGGAAAAGGCACTCCATATTAACTCGGAAGACGTAGATTTTATAGCTGAATTGGGTCGCCAGTGTCTTCTAACCGGGCGAATCAAAGAAGCCCAGAAGTACTACAAAACGGCCACTAAAATCAACGACGCGTCACTAAAGGCACTCATGGGTTTGACGTTATGCGAACTGAGCGAAAATGGGAAGTCCGACCAAATCAAGAAACAAGTGGACTTCTTACTCGAGCTTGAGGAAGCCCAAAACTCGCCACAATTGTATTTAATCCGAGCCAAAATTAACGAGAAGTCCGACGAAGCGCTAATTTTTCTCAAAAAGGCGTGCGATCTTCAGTTGAACCTGGTCAAAAACCAGTACTACTCCGATCTGTACTTGCAAAGTTTGGACTCCGATTTTATGCTAGAGGTGGTGAAAGAGTACTTGCAGTACGTGTCGTACAGCACCGACTTGACGAAAAGTGGGGTCCGAGTTAGTTCAACTGCGGCCACCACAGCCCAAAACGTGCTCAAAGTCGTCACTAAAGCATGTCCTGGGTTATACGAAGCGTCGTACTTGTTAGCAAAGTTGCAGTACTTGAGTGGGGAAAGTACTAACGCTATGAATAGTCTCGAACAAATCCTGAGTAAGATCGACGACGAAACGTCGAGCGATGCGCATTTGTTGATGGCGCAAATCCAGGTACAAAACGGGTACTACGAAAGGGCAGCCCAAAGTCTAGAGGTGGGTTTAAGTTACAACTTCAAAGTACGAGAGAACCCGATGTACCACTACATTCGTGGATTGGTCGACAAACACGGGAATAATCTGCAAGACACTATTAAGAGTCTTACTACAGCACTTTCCCTGGTTAATATTAACCCAACTAAGTACGACCAAACCGACCTGACTCTAATCGAGAAGGCGTCAATCTACATCGAGCTTATCGAAGCACATAACATGATAGGTCAGAATGACGAAGCTTCAAAGCTTCTAGAAACCGCAGTCGAGGAGTTTCAAGGTACTCCTGAAGAAGCCCGAATCTTGATTCTAAGTGCAGACCATGCTGTTCAGCGAAAGAACGTTCAAGGGGCCATTGATCTCTTAAACAAGGTACAACCAACTGAGTCGTACTACCTTCAAGCTAGGACTAAGCTGGCTGATATTTTGTTGAAGTACCGACTTGATTCGTATGCGTACCTGCAGTGCTACCAAGATATGGTGGATGAGAATCCGGGACCCGAAAGCTACGTTCTTCTAGGGGATGCTTATATGGCGATTCTAGAACCAGATGAGGCTTTAGATTGTTACAATCAAGCTTTGCAGCAGAATCAGAACGACCCGTACTTGACGTCGAAGATGGGAAAGGCGCTAGTGGAGACGCACTACTTTGCTAAAGCTATAGCGTTTTACAAAGAATCAATTAAAAACACCCAGAACCCTGATTTAAAGTTACAACTAGCGGATCTCTATATCCAGATGAAGGAGTACGATAAAGCCGACTTGTTACTGATGAACGAGATTGAAGCTGAGAGTGCGAAGACTTTGGAGGATTTGACGTATTTGCAGCACCGTACTAGGTTGTTGATGCTTTTGGCCCAAGCTAGAGAGAAGTCGGGGAATTTATCCGGGGCTTTGTCTGTCTTGAGGGACGCTAAAGACAACCAGAACCGGGTCAGGAAGAGGTTATCGGTGGAGCAAACAAGTAATATCGCAGAAGGTTGTACAATCGCACGCAAATGTTTTGAGCCTATGGGCGGATCATTTTTGCCGATCGTCACCGAAGGAGGCGGCCCAAATCGTCCAAGGGCAGAATTTGTAGGTAGGCTCAAACTACAACGAAATTTACGCGTTGACCAAATTCTTACTCTGAATTAGTTTTAATTTTATAAATACCCTATCTAAAGTGTTCAGAATATGATGAGTCTATACTTGTGATTTACCATTCCATTTATATTTTTTGGATTTGTTTATACATACAGGGTGACTCAAAAAAAATAATGACTGAGTCAATTTATTTTATTGAAGAAATCAAGAATTGCAAAACTGAATACTTGAAATCTTGTCAATTAGTTGGAACCTGAGCCCAATTTTTTTTGCAATATCTGTGATGTACTATTAGTTTCCGTAAGTTATAAAATTACAAAAAAAAAACCTATTCTGCTCTAATAAAATCGAGAATATGCTCAAAATTACACTAATACTAGGTCTAATTGTGCCAACCATAGTTATAAAATTCATATTAAAATAAGTCACGGACATTTTTTGAAGTGTACTACATTTCAAAAAACAAAAAAATGTTCAGTTTATAAACTTCATAAATTTGGTTTAAAGTTTATCAATCATGTTTGACTTTATCCGTTTCATTTGTTATCCTTTACTGCGGTCTCTCTTGAGTCGAGGTGTAACACCGGACCGAACGTTCTTCGACCGACATCTTTTCGGTGGCAAATTTAATCTTCGCATACTTCAGCGTAGTTAGTGAACTCGTTGTGACCACTGAAATATACAAAGAGTAAATTTTGAAATGGAACGAAAGTCGAAGAATACTTTCAAAGCCACGATCAAAATGTATTTGCTTATCTTCACCAAAAAATGCATGACGTCATCGTAAAATTTGATATGATGAGTCTATACCTGTGATTTATCATTGCAGTAATATTTTTTAGATTTCTTATACAGCCTGTCTCAAAAAAAGATCACTTCGATTTTCGATTTTTCGTTTTTTCGACCAACCATTTCATCGAATTAGATTTTTCAGTTTCAATTTTTCTATCAAATTTTCGATTTTATTACTTTCAAATTTTCTGATTTTTCAAATTTGCGGTATTTTGAATTTTCGAGTTTTTAGTTTTTTCGTTTTCCGATTTTTTAATTTTTCGTTTTTTTGATTTTTCGATGTTTCGATTTTTTGATTTGCCATTCTTTCAATTTTCGATTTTTCGTCTTTCCATTTTTAGATTTCTGGATTTTTTTGTTCGTCAGTTTTTAGATTTTGCAATTTTTTGCATTTTTCGATTATATTTTACTTTCCGATTTTTTTGATTTTTGAATTCTCGATTTTACGTTTTTAATTCTTCTATTCTCGAGTTTTCGATTTTCCATTAATCATTAAATTTTTCGATTTTTCGGTTGTTTTATTTCTCGACCTTCGGTTTTTCAACTTTCGATTATTCGATTTTCCATTTTCGGATTTTACGATTTTTCGTTTTTCCGCTTTTGTTTTATTTTTCCATTTTTCGATTATTTTACTTTCCGATAGTTTGATTTTTGAATTTTCGGTTTTTCCATTTTTCGATTTGGGATTTTTCAATTTTTCGGTTTTTTAATTTTTCGTATTTTGATTTTCGATTTTTCAGATTTGTGGATTTGTGTCCGTTTTTTCGATTTTTAGAATATTGATTAATCGAATTTTCGATTTTTGAGCATTTCGATTTTTCGATTATCATTTTTACGATTTTTCAAAATCTCGATATTCGAGTTTTCGATTTTCCATTTTTCAAATTTTCAATTTTTAATTTTGCTTTTTTCGATTGTTGCTTTTTAGAATTTTCCCTTCTTCAGCTTTTAGATTTCAATTTTGTTACTTTCCGATTTTCTACTTTTCGATTTTTTTATTTTTTTTAGATCGTCGTTTTTTCGATTTTCATTTTCCCGATTTTTTGATTTTTCAATTTTTAGGCCTTGCAATTTTTTTACTTTTCGTTTTTTCGAGTATTTGTTTCATCGAATTTTCGATTTTTCGATTTTCAATTTTTCGGTTTTTCCATTTTCCGATTTTCGATTTTTCGATTTTCCATTTTTAGATATTTTTCGATTTTTTTTATTTTTCGATTTTTCTGTTCGTCAATTTTGAGACTTTGCAATTTTTACTTTTCCACTTTTCTATTATTTTAGTTTCGGATTATTCGATTTTTGAATTTTCGTTTTTTTTCATTTTTCGATTTCCGATTTTTTAATTTTTCGATTTTTCGGTTTTTTATTTTGTCGATTCTCGATATTCCGATTTTCGATTTTTCGATTTTCCAATCTTCGATTTTTCAATTTCCAGTTTTCGATTTTCCACTTTTTGATTTTACGATTTTTCGATTTTTTTGTTCGTCAGTTTTTAGGCTTTGCAATTTGTTTACTTTTCGATTTTTCGATTATTTTACTTTCCAATTTTTTGATTTTTGAATTGTCGACTTTTAGTTTTCAATATTATGAATTTTTGAATTTTCGGTTTTCCTATTTTTCGATTTTTGATTTTTCCATTTTTCGGTTTTTTGATTTTTCAATTCTCAGTTTTTCAATCTTGCAAATTTTCGATTTTTCAGATTTGTGAATTTCCAGTTTTTCGATCGACCTACGTATTAGATTCATTGAATTTTTGATTTTCGGTTTTTCCATTTTTAAATTTTTGATTTTCCAGTTTTGTATTTTCAGATTTTCTGTTTTTCGCATATCTGATTTATCAAATTTTCGATTTTTCGGCTTTTCGATTTTTCGACATTTGATTTTCGAATTTTCGATTGTTCAGTTTTCCATTTTTCAGCTTTTAGACTTCAATTTTTTTACTTTTCGATTTTCCAAATTTTCGAGTTTCAATTTTCAGATTTTTGATTTTTCGATTTTCTTTTTAAATCTTTGAATTTTTCGGTTTTGATTTTTCGAATTTTTGATTTTTAATTTTTCCATTCTTCGGTTTTTAGACTTCAATTTTCTTTCTTTTAAATTTTTTGATATTCTATTTTCCGCTTTTCAGAATTTTAGATTTTCAGTTTTCAGACTTTCGATCATTAGAATTTTGGATTTTTCAGTTTTATGATTTTTCGATTTTTAGAAAATTTGAGTAGTCGAATTTTCGATTTTTCAATTCATCGATTTTTACTTCCCGAGCGTAAGCAAAGGAAGTATTGTAATCGAGTCCGTCGGCCGACTCTCTACTTTTACGTTTTCTCGATCTTTCATGACCCCTAGAAGACGAAGAAATAGGTCTCCCATTTCCGTCTGTCTGTCCGTCTGTCCGTCTGTCCGTCTGTCCGTCTGTCCGTCTGTCCGTCTGTCCGTCCGTCTGTCCGTCTGTCCGTCTGTCCGTCTGTCCGTCTGTCTGTCTGTCCGTCTGTTGTTACGGATTTTTATTAGACAGATAATCTCCGAAAGTACTCGACCGATTGTTGTGAAATTTTGTACTTATATTAAGAATATCATGTAGATGGTAAAACGCTAACCAAAATTTGTCGAATCATCCCCACCATTAAAGCGATGACGTCACTTCAAAATTGTACATAGTAAATGGGTTTTCAATTGTATAAAATAACATAGTCCTACACATGTAGTTTACAACTCTGAATCGACTTTTCACCCGAAACGTCCAGATTTTTGGAAAAAAAATCAAAATTATAAAACAACATTTTGAAATTTAATTTTTAATCTGCTAACCAGAATGCTTTGAAATGTTGCAGATGTTTTAAGGCTATAAAGAGCATCATAAATCTTTAGTCAAAAAATATTTGCTTATCCCCTCCAAAAACTTGATGACGTCAGCTCAAAAGTTTGTGGAATAAATCATATCTAAAATGTACAAAATATGATGAGTCTGTACTTGTGATCTATCACTCCATTAATATTTTTTGGATTTGCATATACAGGGTGACTCAAAAAAATTAATGAATGCGTAAATATATTTTATTGATTTAATCAGGAACTACAAAACCGAATGCTCTGAAATCTTGCAGATGTTTTAAGGTCATAAAGAGCATAATAAATGTTTAGTCAAAATATATTTGCTTATCCCCTCCAAAAACTTGATGACGTCAGCTCGAAAGTTTGCCGAATAAATCATATCTAAAATGTACAAAATATGATGAGCCTGTACTTGTCATTTATCACTCCATTCATATTTTTTGGATTTGCATATACAGAGTGACTCAAAAAAATTAATGAATGCGTAAATTTTTTTTATTGATTTAATCAGGAACTACAAAACCGAATGCTTTGAAATCTTGCAGATGTTTTAAGGTTATAAAGAGCATAATAAATTTTTAGTCAAAATATATTTGGTTATCTTCTACAAAAAACTGATGACGTCAGCTCAAAAGTTTTCCGAATAAATCGTATCTAAAATGTACAAAATATGATGAGTCTGTACTTGTGATCTATCATTCCATTCATATTTTTGGATTTGCATATGCAGGGTGACTCAAAAAAATTAATGAAGGCGTGAATTTATTTTATCGATTTAATCAGGAATTACAAAACCGAATGCTTTGAAATCTTGGGAATATTTTAAAGTTATTATAAGCATGGTTAACTTTTGTTCAAAATGTATTTGTTCATCCCTCCTAAAAAAATTGATGACGTCACCCTTAAATTTTGCTGAATAAATCCTATCTAAAATGCAAAAAATATGATGAGTTTGTACTTGTGATTTATCATTCCATTCATATTTTTTAGATTTTCTTAAGAGGTGGTTCAAAAAAATTAATGAAGTCAAATTATTTTATTGATTAAATTAAAGGCAACACTTATTATTAGTATTACACCCCAACCAACCCAATTTGGTAGACACAAAATTTGTTAAAGGAAAAACTCGGTTGAAACATAAGGGTAGCACGCTTATTTACATCGACTTTAACATTACAGACCTGCATTTGTTTTATGCCGTCACTTGGTTCCGCGAATGTGAAATAGACATGTTTATAATCAACCAATTGTGAATTTCACCGTCAAGAATTAAAATAAAACCCAATGTTTTATATAATAAGCGGAAGTCGAAGCAATAAAACCGACGGTCGTTTTGTTTACAGTTTCTGTGTTTGGCTCTCACGTATGCTGTTACGCCTGTCATCTTAAATTAACAATGTTTATACATACACGATTTTCAGTTGCCTCTGATACGTAGGTATACGTGAGTAAATTGTTTCGTTATTTTATTGATTATTACAAATCAATATTCAAACGACCCAATTCATTTTCCCGAAAATTTGAGAATATAATAATTTTATTCTTAGTATTACACTACATCTATCCCAACTGATATACGTGTCCTTGCAAAAATGTTGATGACGTCATCGCAATTTTTTTTTAAATTCCCACTACAAAAATGTAATGAGAAAAAAAACACAATAGGCATGCAGTCGTCAAGTTTCCGACAGCGAGGGAAGTACTGTCTAAACTCTTTAGACCAATTTTTCTATGTTCAATTGTTCAATTTAAATTTTGCGATTTTCAATTTGTTCATTGTCGATTTTTAGAATTTTCGGTTTTTCGGTTTTTCTATTCTCAACTGTTAGACTTCAATTTTGTTACTTCCCGATTTTTTGGTTTTCGATTTTCCAATTTTCAGAATTCATTTCTTTATTCAGATTTTCATTTTTCCACTTTTTTGATTCTAGATTTTTCAAATTTTTGTTTTTCCAATTTTTTGCTTTTTAGATTTTCTGTTCGTTTCAGTTTTTAGGCTTTGCATTTTTTTTTAATTTTCAATACTACAAATTTATGACTTTTCGATTTTTTGGTTTTCCCGTTTTTCAATTTTCGATTTTTCGATTTTTGAGGTTTGTAAATTTCCACTTTTCGATCGACCTAGGTATTTGATTCATTGAATTTTCGATTTTTTGATTAGCCATTTTTAGATTTTCGATTTTTACGATTTGTATTTTTCGATTTTCTGTTTTTTGCATTAGTGAATTTCAGTTTTTCCGATTTTTGATTTTGCGCATATTTGATTAATCAAATTTTCGAAAAAGTTATCATGCTTACAAAAACTTCAAAACATCTACAATATTTCAAAGTATTCAGTTTTGCTATTCTTGATTTCTTCAATAAAATAAATTGACTCAGTCATTAACTTTTTTGAGATACCCTGTATAATCAAATCTAAAAAATATTAATGCAGTGATAAATCACAAGTATAAAAACTCATCATATTTTATACATTTAAGATAGGATTTATTCTGCAAAATTTTGAGGTGACGTCATAAATTTTTTAGAGGGGATAAGCAAATATATTTTAATTAAATCATGTTTATCATGACTTTAAAACATCTGCAAGATTTCAAATTATTCGATTATTCATTATTTTATATGAACAACTACCTGCTAAATCTTCTCCGACAAATTCGAGAGAACTGGTGTGAACCATAAATATTTCTTACCAAATGTAAATTTCGTTGTAGTTTGAGCCTACCTACAAATTCTGCCCTTGAAGGATTTGGACCACCTTCTTCGGTGAGGGCAGGCAAAAACGATCCGCCCATAGGCTCAAAACATTTGCGTGCGATTGTACCACGAAAAACTAAAGTCGGTTGTAGATGTTCCAGACGAAGAGATCAAGTTATTGGTGGATATAGGGGTAAAGCTTGCCGAGATTGCCTCGACTTTGAAAAATCACGACCAAGCGGTTCAGTTTTACAAAGATACGCTTGAAATATCTCCGAATAACACCGAAATACTGACCGCTTTAGCCAAATTGTACATGCAGGTACGTATCGTGCGGGTTTTAGATTGTCGTAAGTTTAGGGTGTTACAGATGAACATTTTGGAGCCTTGTCAACAAATTTGTACCAATATTCTCGCTATAGAGGCAGAGAATGAACACGCGTCTGTCATGATGGCCGACATTGCCTTTAGAAAGGTACGTATGGTGGAAATACGGTTATTTTAGTACCAACTTTTGTGCTTAGATCGACTTCGACATGGCTTTGTTCCACTTCACCCAACTCATCACCAAACAACCCACCAACTGGGCCGCTTTGGTCCGGCTCGTCGAAATCATGCGTCGGACCGGCAACCTGAACGACTTCCCTGAGTACCTCGCGAGTGCGGAAAAAGCCACCGCGAACCCTGTTAAAGACCAAGGGTACCTTTATTCCACCGCGCTCTACCAGTGGTACTCGGGGAACTTGAACGGTGCCTTGAGGAATTTTAACCTAGCCCGACAGGACCCTGAATGGGGGCAACAAGCCCTCTGCAACATGATCGAGATTTGTCTGAACCCCGACGACGAGATGCTCGGCGACCAGTTCATGGACAGCGAAGACATAGAGTACCGGGATTCGCGCTCCATGGCGCTAAAAACGGCCGATCGTCTTCTGAAAGAACTCAAGAATCGGTTGGAGGCCAACGGCGAAGACACACTAAAGTACAAGTTGTTGGCGAACTTCCGCTTGCTAGCGACTCAAGAGAAGGCCAACATCGAGCGCGGGCTCGAGGAGTTTATCACTATGGCGTCGCAGAACATGTACAAGGACCATGTGGGTCCGATTTTGGGGATGTCGACGGCGTATACGTTGTTGAAGCAGAGTCAGCGGGCGAAGAATCAGTTGAAGAGGGTGGCCAAGGCGACGTGGACGTTCGAAGACGCAGAGTACCTGGAGAGGTGCTGGTTGCTGCTGGCTGACTACTATATCCAGTCGAGTAAGCTGGATGTGGCGTCGGATTTGCTGGGCAAGGTGGTGCAGCACAACAAGGCTTGTAGTAAAGCGTACGAGTATTTGGGGTTCATTTCGGAGAAGGAGCAGCGGTATAAGGATGCGGTGGGGAATTATGAGAATGCGTGGCGGTTCGGGGGGAAGACGAATCCCGGGATTGGGTACAAGTTGGCGTATAGTTTGATGAAGTGCAAGAATTATGCGGATGCTATTGATGTGGGGCAGCAGGTGCTCAAGCTCAGTCCGGAGTATCCCAAGATCAAGAAGGATGTTTTGGATAAGTGTATGAATAATTTGAGGATTTGAGGCACGCACTGACACACGTGGTTTGATTGGAGATTTATTGGATGCACTGGTCGTATATACGTGTTGTCAGTGATCCCTAGGGATTCAGTAGCTTTAAATTAACTAAAATTATAAAATAAAGATTACATTCCATGCACAAAATTGACCCATTGTTTTATTGTTAGTTGCTCCCAAGTACCTCCTTTGATCAAAATTGTCTTATTTTCGTTGAATTTTGATGCTAAGAAATTGTGTTGGTGTTCCTTGTTGGGTTTGACAGTTACAGTCAACTGTCAAATAAAGGATCATGGCCAACTAGTGCTAACCTCAAAAACTCGTTGTAACTGGCGCCATCTCATCGTAGAAAATAGTGAAACTTTGAAAATTAGAAAAAACATATATTTAACTTAACTATAAAACAACAAAGTGTAAAAATACGAACACATTACAAACGAACAAAAGAAAATAACGAAACTAATGGAACATGAAACGATGAAGAATAAGAACTTTTTTAGAATTTCAAAATCACATTTACCTTTTTTTCTTAATAGACGTAATCTTGTTTTTATAACAAGAAACTTGAAAAATGTCTGAAATAATAAATTTTTGTACGTAAATGTGGATTTTGCAGAAACATTTTGCCTCTTCGTGTGACAACCAATAAAAAAATCATCACAATTGAGATGGGGTGGGTGGGCGGGGTTTATATTTTGCCTTTTTTACTTAATACACATAGTTTTCTTTGAATAACATCATTACTAGAATATGTTTCACATGGCAAATAAGGATTTTACAATTAAGCTCTGTCCCTCGGCTCACGACGAATAAAAAAAATCGTCACAATTGAGATAGGGCGGGTGGGTGGGGCTCACATTTACCGTTTTTTCTTAATGGACGTAGTCTGGTTTTTATAATAAGCAACTTGAAAAATGTTTGAAGTCCAATTTTTCAGTATGAGATTTTATGAAATTTTTGACTTTTTTCGAACATTGATGAAAATAATCTAAAAGAAGTTTTTGCGGATGTCAAGCTCCAAAATTTACTTTCGGCTTGATTTCTTCGAAAATTTCTACTATTTTTTAGAAATCGCCAAAATTAAATATGGCAATTTTTATAATCTTTTAAAAATTTGACTTTGAAAACGATACCGTGAAGATCAGGACCGTTAACACGCTACATTTTCCGAATTATCTTGTTAAAGTCTGCGTTCCACAATTTTTGGTGAATTTTTGGCAATTTTTCCAAAAGCTCAATTTTTTAATAGGATATTTTATGGAATTTTTTATTGATTTCGACCTTCAAGATCTGTTTTCGGTTTCATCTCTCCGAAAATTTGTACCATTTTTCCAGAATCGCCAAAATAGCACTTAAGGCAATTTTTAAAAATATTTAAATTTTAATTTGAAAATGAATTTGCCGAGATCTATATTCCAGAATTTTTGGTGGGTTTTTAGACAACTTTTCCGAAAGCCTTATTTTTCAATTAAAAAAATTATTAACGGAATTTTTGAAAATTTCCACTATTTTTGTAGGAAAGTATCGATTTTGCAATTAGACTCCACCCCTTGATCTGACAACAACTGAAAAATTCATCACAATTGAGCTTGGGATGGATATGGTTGGGACTTAATTTTTGGTTTGTTTTTTTCTTAATATAAGTATGTAGCACTCTTTCAACAAAATGATACTTGAAAACATTCTTGTAGAGAAAGAAGGATTTTGCAGTTAAGCTCCTCCTCTTGGCTCACGACGAATAAAAAAAATATCATCACAATTGAGATAGGGCGGGTGGGCGGGGCTTACATTTTGCCTTTTTTTCTTAATATGTGTAGACTTATTTTCACAACAAGAAACTTAAAACATGTTTAAAATGGTAAATTTGTATAGGGAAATATCGATTTTGCAATTACGCTCCGCCTCTCGGTCTGACAACGAATGAAAAATGCATGACGGTTAAGATCGAGACGGATGGGTGGGGCTTCTCTTTTAGTTTTCTTTTTTAATTAATTCATTTAGTATTCTTTGTATAACACGATTATTTAAGAACGGCAATTTCTCACAGAAAAATAAGGATTTTACAATTAAGCTCTGTCCTCCAACTCACGACGAATAAAAAAAATCGTCACAATTGAGATAGGGCGGGTGGGTGGGGCTCACATTTACCTTTTTTCTTAATGGACGTAGTCTGGTTTTTATAATAAGCAACTTGAAAAATGTTTGAAGTCCAATTTTTCAGTATGAGATTTTATGAAATTTTAGACTTTTTTCGAACATCGATGAAAATAATCTAAAAGAAGTTTTTGCGGATGTCAAGCTCCAAAATTTACTGTCGGCTTGATTTCTTCGAAAATTTAAACTATTTTTCAGAAATCGCCAAAATTAAATATGGCAATTTTTATAATTGTTTAAAAAATCATCCGGGACCGTCAACACGCTACATTTTCCGAATTATCTTGTTAAAATCTGTGTTCCACAATTTTTGGTGAATTTTAGCCAATTTTTCCAAAAGCTCAATTTTTTAATTGGAAATTTTATGGAATTTTTGACTTTTTGAGAGTTGACAATTGTGTAAAAGGATTTTTTACTGGTTTCGAAAATTTGTACCATTTTTCCAGAATCGCCAAAATAGCACATGCCAATTTTTAAAAATATTAAAAAATTTTAATTAGAAAATAAATTTGTCGAGATCTATTTCTAGAATTTTTGGTGGATTTTTAGGCAACTTGTCCAAAAGCCTTATTTTTCAATTAAAAAGTTTACTTTTGGCTTCATTTCTCTGAAAATTTCCCCTTTTTTTTTATTCGCCGTGAATCAAGGGGGCGGAGCTTAACTGCAAAATACTTATTTCTATACAAGAAATTAAGAACATGCAAGCTATTTTGACGAAACTGTAAAAATTGGTATATTTCAATTAGCGATTTTAGAAAAACTGTAGAAATTTCCGAAGAAACGAAGCCGAAAATGAGTTCCATAGAAAATGTCTTTAATTAATTTTCGAAAATAGTTGAAAAATGGTCGAAAATGTCAAAAGTGCCAAAAATCAGTCTTATCTTTTCAAATACTAGCCCCGCCCATCTACCTTTATTTTCGTAGAGAGCTCTCTATTTTTTAGAGGATATGTCATTTGCCAAAATCAGTATTATCATATAAAATAGTAACCCCGCCCACCCACCCTCTATTTTCTTAGAGGAACTCATTTGCCAAAATCAGTCTTATCTTAGCAAGAACTAGCCCGCCCACCACCCCTCTATTTTTTTAGAGGGTGTCATTTGTCAAAACTAGTCTTATTCTATAAAATACTAGCCCCGCCCACCCATTCTTTATTTTCTTAGAGGATATGTCATTTGCCAAAATTACTCTTTTCTCAGCAAGTAGTAGCCCCGCCCACCAACCCTCTATTTTTTTAGTCATTTGTCATTTGCCAAAATCAGTCTTATCTTATAAAATGCTAGCCCCGCCCACCCACCCTCTATTTTCTTAGAGGCTATGTCATTGCCAAAATCAGTCTTATCATGGACCCTGACACTATTCCAGTTGCCCTGACTGTGTTCCGGAGGCTCCTGATACTATTCCAGGAGCCTTCACTGCATCCCGAAGGCTTTGACTGTGTTCAGGAGATTCTAACTGTATCCAGGAAGCCCTTATTGAATGTCAGAAATTGTGGCATTGTGTCCCAGAGATCCTGACACTATTCCAGTTGCCCTGACTGTGTTCCGGAGACACTTACGCTGTTACAGTTGCCCTGACTATGTTCCGGAGATCCTAATACTATTCCAGTTTCCTTGACTATGTTCCGGAGATCCTGACACCATTCCAGTTGCCCTGACTGTGTTCCCGAGACACTCACATTATTCCAGTTTCCTTTACTGTCTTCCGAAGACCCAGACACTATTCCAGTTGCCCTGACTGTGTTCCGGAGGCTCCTTATACTATTCCAGTTGCCCTGACTGTGTTCCGGAGGCTCCTGATACTATTCCAGTTGCCCTGACTGTGTTTCGGAAATCCTGATACTATTCCAGTTTCCTTGACTATGTTCCGGAGACCCTGACACTATTCCAGTTGCCCTGACTGTGTTCCGGAGATACTCACGCTATTCCAGTTTCCTTGACTGTGTTCCGGAGACCCTAACACTATTCCAGGGGTCCTGACAGTGTCCTTGAGGTGCTGGACCATGTTGGAGACCCTAGCAGTGTTCCAAAGGCCCTTTTTGTGTTTCAGAGATGCTAATCATGTGTTAAGTCCTGAGACTGTGTTCAGAAAAAATTTAACTGCGTTATAACAGCCTTTATTCTGTACCAGAGACTCATCTGACTATGTTCCACAAGCCCTTACTGTATTTCATAAACTCTGACTGTGTTTTTGAAGCTTTGATTATATTCCGCAAGCCCTTACTGCGTCTCAGAGATGCTGACTCTATTTCAGAGATTTGGTACTTTTCCTTAAAGTCCTGACTGTGTTCCAGAGGCTTTGACTGTGTTTCGGAAATCTTAATTCTATTCCGAAGACAATGAGTGTGTCCCAGAGTCCCTTATTGTGACTCAAAGACTGCTAACTGGGTTTCAGCAGTCCTGAGACTGTGTTCCAAAAGTCTTAACTGTATTTCGAAGTCCTTAATTGCGCTCCGGAGGTCCTGACTCTTTTTCGGGTCCCTGATTGCGCTCCCGAAGCTTTGACTATATGCCACAGGTCCTTATGGTGTCTCAGAGATTCTAACGGTGCTTCAGATATCCTATCAAGTTCTCCTTGAAGCCCTGACTGTGTTTCAGAAAATCTTTGAGACACTTTTTCGGGCAAAAAGATCTTGTTAGTAGAGAAATGCCCACGTAGTGTACTTTAAACAAGACGATACTCAAAAACATGTTTTTAATTTCTCATAGAGAAATAAGCATTTTGCAGTTAGCTCCGCCCCTGGTCTCACGACAAATAAAAAAAAAATCATCAGAATTGAGACAGGGTGGGTGAGCGGGGCTTATTTTTTTTCTTAATATACATCTTTTCACAACAAGAAACTTAAAACATGGTTAAAATGTTATAATTATAGGGCGGAGCCTAACTGCAAAATCGAGATTTCCTTATATAAATTTTCCATTTTACACATATTTTAAGTTTCATGTTGTAAAAAGAAGTCTGCAAATATTAAAACAAAAAGGTAAAATATAAGC